AAACTCTGAGAAGCTCTTTGGAGACGTCCATTTTGTAGAAGTAGAAACGCGAAGAATCTCCTTGGAGACGTCCATTTTGTAGAAGTAGAAACTCTGAGAAGCTCCTTGGAGACGTCCATTTTGTAGAAGTAGAAACTCAAAAAAGCTCCTTGGAGACGTCCATTTTGTAGAAGTAGAAACTCGAGGAAGCTCCTTGGAGACGTCCATTTTGTAGAAGTAGAAACTCGAAGAAGTTCCTTGGAGACGTCCATTTTGTAGAAGTAGAAACTCGAGGAAGCTCCTTGGAGACCTCCATTTTGTAGAAGTAGAAACTCGAAAAAGCTCCTTGGAGACCTCCATTTTGTAGAAGTAGAAACTCGAGGAAGCTCCTTGGAGACGTCCATTTTGTAGAAGTAGAAACTCAAAGAAGCTCCTTGGAGACGTCCATTTTGTAGAAGTAGAAACTCGAAGAATCTCCTCGGAGACGTCCATTTTGTAGAAGTAGAAACTCGAGGAAGCTCTTTGGAGACGTCCATTTTGTAGAAGTAGAAACTCGAGGAAGCTCCTTGGAGACGTCCATTTTGTAGAAGTAGAAACTCGAAAAAGCTCCTTGGAGACGTCCATTTTGTAGAAGTAGAAACTCGAAGAATCTCCTTGGAGACGTCCATTTTGTAGAAGTAGAAACTCGAGGAAGCTCCTTGGAGACCTCCATTTTGTAGAAGTAGAAACGCGAAGAAGCTCCTTGGAGACGTCCATTTTGTAGAAGTAGAAACTCGAGGAAGCTCCTTGGAGACGTCCATTTTGTAGAAGTAGAAACTCGAGGAAGCTCCTTGGAGACGTCCATTTTGTAGAAGTAGAAACTCCAAGAAGCTCCTTGGAGACGTCCATTTTGTAGAAGTAGAAACTCGAAAAAGCTCCTTGGAGACGTCCATTTTGTAGAAGTAGAAACTCTGAGAAGCTCCTTGGAGACGTCCATTTTGTATAAGTAGAAACTCTGAGAAGCTCCTTGGAGACGTCCATTTTGTAGAAGTAGAAACTCTGAGAAGCTCCTTGGAGACGTCCATTTTGTAGAAGTAGAAACTCTGAGAAGCTCCTTGGAGACGTCCATTTTGTAGAAGTAGAAACTCGAAGAAGCTCCTTGGAGACGTCCATTTTGTAGAAGTAGAAACTCGAGGAAGCTCCTTGGAGATGTCCATTTTGTAGAAGTAGAAACTCGAGGAAGCTCCTTGGAGACGTCCATTTTGTAGAAGTAGAAACTCGAAGAAGCTCCTTGGAGACGTCCATTTTGTAGAAGTAGAGACTCGAGGAAGCTCCTTGGAGACGTCCATTTTGTAGAAGTAGAAACTCGAGGAAGCTACTTGGAGACGTCCATTTTGTAGAAGTAGAAATTCGAAGAAACTCCTTGGAGACGTCCATTTTGTAGAAGTAGAAACTCTAGGAAGCTCCTTGGAGACGTCCATTTTGTAGAAGTAGAAACTCAAAGAAGCTCATTGGAGACGTCCATTTTGTAGAAGTAGAAACTCGAGGAAGCTCCTTGGAGACGTCCATTTTGTAGAAGTAGAAACTCGAAGAAGCTCCTTGGAGACGTCCATTTTGTAGAAGTAGAAACTCGAAGAAACTCCTTGGAGACGTCCATTTTGTAGAAGTAGAAACTCGAAGAAGCTCCTTGGAGACGTCCATTTTGTAGAAGTAGAAACTCAAAGAAGCTCCTTGGAGACGTCCATTTTGTAGAAGTAGAAACTCGAAGAATCTCCTTGGAGACGTCCATTTTGTAGAAGTAGAAACTCTGAGAAGCTCCTTGGAGACGTCCATTTTGTAGAAGTCGAAACTCGTAGAAGCTCCTTGGAGACGTCCATTTTGTAGAAACAGAAACTCGAAGAAACTCCTTGGAGACGTCCATTTTGTAGAAGTAGAAACTCGAGGAAGCTCCTTGGAGACATCCATTTTGTAGAAGTAGAAACTCGAGGAAGCTCCTTCGAGACGTCCATTTTGTAGAAGTAGAAACTCGAAGAAGCTCCTTGGAGACGTCCATTTTGTAGAAGTAGAAACTCGAGGAAGCTCCTTGGAGACGTCCATTTTGTAGAAGTAGAAACTCGAGGAAGCTCCTTGGAGACGTCCATTTTGTAGAAGTAGAAACTCGAGGAAGCTCCTTGGAGACGTCCATTTTGTAGAAGTCGAAACTCAAAGAAGCTCCTTGGAGACGTCCATTTTGTAGAAGTAGAAACTCGAGGAAGCTCCTTGGAGACGTCCATTTTGTAGAAGTAGAAACTCCAAGAAGCTCCTTGGAGACGTCCATTTTGTATAAGTAGAAACTCTGAGAAGCTCCTTGGAGACGTCCATTTTGTAGAAGTAGAAACTCTGAGAAGCTCCTTGGAGACGTCCATTTTGTAGAAGTAGAAACTCTGAGAAGCTCCTTGGAGACGTCCATTTTGTAGAAGTAGAAACTCGAAGAAGCTCCTTGGAGACGTCCATTTTGTAGAAGTAGAAACTCGAGGAAGCTCCTTGGAGATGTCCATTTTGTAGAAGTAGAAACTCGAGGAAGCTCCTTGGAGACGTCCATTTTGTAGAAGTAGAAACTCGAAGAAGCGCCTTGGAGACGTCCATTTTGTAGAAGTAGAGACTCGAGGAAGCTCCTTGGAGACGTCCATTTTGTAGAAGTAGAAACTCGAGGAAGCTACTTGGAGACGTCCATTTGTAGAAGTAGAAATTCGAAGAAACTCCTTGGAGACGTCCATTTTGTAGAAGTAGAAACTCTAGGAAGCTCCTTGGAGACGTCCATTTTGTAGAAGTAGAAACTCAAAGAAGCTCATTGGAGACGTCCATTTTGTAGAAGTAGAAACTCGAGGAAGCTCCTTGGAGACGTCCATTTTGTAGAAGTAGAAACTCGAAGAAGCTCCTTGGAGACGTCCATTTTGTAGAAGTAGAAACTCGAAGAAACTCCTTGGAGACGTCCATTTTGTAGAAGTAGAAACTCGAAGAAGCTCCTTGGAGACGTCCATTTTGTAGAAGTAGAAATTCAAAGAAGCTCCTTGGAGACGTCCATTTTGTAGAAGTAGAAACTCGAAGAAGCTGTTTGGAGACGTCCATTTTGTAGAAGTAGAAACTCTGAGAAGCTCCTTGTAGACGTCCATTTTGTAGAAGTAGAAACTCAAAGAAGCTCCTTGGAGATGTCCATTTTGTAGAAGTAGAAACTCGAGGAAGCTCCTTCGAGACGTCCATTTTGTAGAAGTAGAAACTCGATTTACAACGTAACGTATTTACAGTTCCAAGCGTAACGACCGCCACACCTGTAATTCCTACGGCTATCTTCAGTCCCGATGGTTTCCACCAAAATTGTTCACGAACAGTCAGCCCCGATGTCGTCCATCTTGGTCATCGATTAGTCCTTGAGGAAAAGCTCCGACCACGAGCCTCGCTCCCCCTTATATATTCGCTCGGCCCTGCCCCTGTCGGAGAATGGCCCCCTACTATACTACAACACGTGTGTTCTTTATTGAATTATGAGAACAGTGCCGTCTGGGCACTTGTTCCTAATGATCTCAATGCGTGCCTTCTAGCACTTTATCTGTAGAGTTCCCTACAATAGGATTTCAATTACAGTGGTACCTCGGTATACGTCGTTAATTCGTTCCAGCAGGTAGGACTTATACCGAAAATGATGTATACCAAACGCATTTTTCCCATAAGAAATAAAGGGAAAGGAAATAGAGTATAAGAAATTATATTTTAAGTGGCATATTATACATTAATGGGGTTGTATAAAATTATTTAGACACTACTTATTACTAAAATGCATACATAAATTAAAATAAATTTAAATAAAAATCAAATGTAACGTCACTTTACCTTGCTGAGAGGAGTTGATCGCCTACGAGGATGGTGGTGAGAAAGGGAAGGAGGAGGAGATGTTATTATCATTCAAACTTCGGCAAACTGAAATTCTGGGTTTTTAAAAAATCCTTTATATTAAGTTCACTTGTTTGCTTGCTTGCGTGCTTACGACCGTGCAAATCTTTCGGTCGTTTTTTAACCGACTTCCCGTGATCCAATCGAGCTGACATTTTGCACACAGACTCGTTGTGCGTGACAATTTATTTTTTAGTATTTTTTTTCATATTTAATTTAAATTACCAATGTGATAAAAATGAAACTCTTACTCAAGAAAAACAGAAATGAATAATATAATAAAATAAAACCGATGCCACGCATATAAAGGATTTATAGTGAAAAACTTTGTTTTTACGGGTTAATTTTTTTCTTTCTCTTTTTTTGTCTTTTTCTTGACTTGGACCTGGTTGAAGCTCACCAGGTTTGAGTTTTACTAAAAATCTGCCCATTGAAGTTTGTTTTTGCCTTCAACTAAGAATGATCCTAAAGTGTGACATTGTCTGGTCATTCCACACAATACTCTTACGGCTTGTTGACTGAGGAGCGGTGCTTTGTTTCAGTCGTGAATGGGGTATACTGTACGCGGGTACGCGGTGATTCGTCTCGACCCATACAAGTTCTAGCAAGCGCGTCGTATCCCAAGCAAGACGTCGTATCCCAAGACATTTTTTTCTCGTCAAAACACGACGTATACCAAATTCGACTTTTTCCAAAGTGGTCGTATACCGAGGTATGACTGTACATTTATTTTGAATACAAATTGTATTTCACTAAGTGGAATGCATTCTCCATCGATTTCCTTCACGTAAAATTTCAATATTGCAGCCTCCAGTAAACTTTCACTAAGTCACAACATAACATTTTTGGGTCAAGTGAGCCAGACTGCTGATGAGACACCGGAATTTGAAACCGGTTCAAAATGATTGCTTGTGTTGAATCAGTGGTCTAAGCAAGATTGAATGACAATGATCTGTTTTTTAAACTACTTACAGAATTTTGTGTGAAAGTGGTGTCCTCTACGGGGTGATTTCGGAGGTCGATCTATGATATTCACTTCCACGGGCCATTCCCTAAACTCCTCTCCCCCTCTTCCCTCCTCCCCCCTCCCCCGTTCTTCCCCTTCCCCCTACCCCTCACATATTCCCATCCCTGAAATTAAACAGGTCGATCCCTCTGCACCCGGACTTTAAGACCCTGCCCTTCAGCGCCAGCCTGAAGGCTCCATTGAACGAGCGGTTGAAGACCATCAGCAGGACCGGGTTGACGGCCGAGTTGAGGTAAGGAAGCCAGCACACCACCTCCCAGGCGGCTCGGCTCGTCCCGTAGCCCAGCAGTGGCTCGCTCGCCACCAAGATGAAGTATGGCATCCAGAGCAGAATGAATGCGCCCGTGATGATGCCGAGCGTCCGGGTCGCGTTGTGTTCCCGCTTCGTCGAGGCACGGTCGTCCCGCCCCGAGACCATCGCCGAACCCTCGATCCTTCTCGCCTGGGCCCGGGCGAGGCGGTGAATCTTCGCGTTCGCCACGATCATCAGCAGCATCGGCATCACGTAGGCCACCAGGACATTCGTGGCGGTCGACGCCGGGTTCATGTAGACGCGGCAGTCGTGGCGGCAGCTCGACTCGGCCACCTGGCGCTTGATGCCCACGAGGTTCCAGCCCAGCATGAAGGTGGCGCCGTACAGGGGGAGGCCGGACCATGACAGGAGCAGCATGGCGGCCAGGACACGCGGCGTCACCATCTGGCGGTAACGAAGGGGCTCCGCGATGGATGCGTAGCGTTCGAGGGAGATGCACGCTAGGTTGGCGATGGAGGAGGTGCAGGTGGAGAAGTCGAGCCACGTGTGAAGGCGGCAGAAGAGGTCGCCGTAGAACCAGCAGTTGTAGGCGGTGCGTGCGGCGCTGAAGGGCATGATCAGGAGGCCGACCAGGAGATCGGCGACTGCCAGAGACGCCACCAGGACATTGGAGCGAGATTGGAGCTGCCTGGACTCGCACACAGACCGATAAACTCACACAACAACAACAACAACTGGCAATTGCCACTCAGTGGTGGTGACATCACCTTGACACTTGTGCCAGGTCTTCTTGGTTCTTTCGGTAAAGTCACGTAGAAGGGAAGTAATAAAATAATAAAAATAAAACATAATAAAATACAATAATATAATAAAATAATAATATAAAATAATAAAATAATAAAATAATGTTAAATAATAAAATAATACTATTTTATTACTTCCCCTCTACGTGACTTTACCGAAAGAACCAAGGAGATGAATCCCTGTAGTCACGAAAGCTTTAAATCGAAACTTGTGCCAGGCTTTGTGCACTTTGAGGCTATGTAAAATATCGAACACCAGCTGGCAGGAGGTCAAGGTACAGTCCCAGGTGCGATGGGTTCACTGACTAAGATGATCTAGATCTGAAGTTTTCGTGACTGCAATGATCCATACTCTTTGGTTATTTCGGTAAAGTCAGAAAGAACCAAAGAGTATGACTAAGATAACTTTCCAATGCAAAACCTGTGCCACCTATCATTCCAATTTGCTGTGTTTAAGCCGCCCAGTGCTCGGCTCGTTGTTGCTCCTCTGTCCTTAATTGTTTTTTGAGGGCGACTGCCTCTTACTGCCTAGTAGCCTCCTCCACAGAGGGTGATCTTGACACTGCTGGTATCAATCATTGGCAAGTCCACTCAGCTCCACATTCTCTCGTGCCACATAATTCCATCTCTTCTCTATCCCTTGCCACGTCCGTTTAGCCCCCTCTATCCAGCTGAAGAGAATCGGTTTGGGCATTCTATTCTATTTCGAATTTATATAGCACCCTTTTCAGGGTGCTTTTAAATGCAAGCCGACAGCATTCAGTGAGGGAGGTGACAGAATGGTTGGAGGGACAGGGGCTGGGAATGGAGCTGATGTTGCTGGGGTCGGTAAGGCAGAGATGATGGTAGACAGCTCCAGAACGGAAATGGTGGACAAAGCATTTAAGGAATAAGTAGTACGGTGGGGGGGTCATTAGGTGCATGGATATCAGAAGGGTTCGCATTGATTATGGAGGAGTGGACGTGGGCGATCTTGGTCATGAAGCAGTTGGAGAGGACCACAGGAGTGGGGGCAGAAGTTTCAGGTGCAGTAGAAGATGGATGGAGCAGAGAGATTAGGGTATTGAAGAGCAGAGCAGGGTGTGAAGATAGGGAGGAAATGAGGGAAGGAAGGTTTGATTGGCGAGAAGCCTCCAGGGCTGAAGTGTAATTTGAAAGGAGGGAATTATATGAGGAACGTGAGTCATGGGTTGGTGAAGTTCTCCAGATGTGCTCTGCTTTGTGCACGAGCCGGCGCTGTTACTTGAGCGTTGATGATAACCGAGGACATGGGGGGCGTTGCCGAGGGTGTAAGGGGAGCATAGGTACAAGCGTTTCGATTGAAAGCTTTCGTGACTGCGGGGATTCATCTTCTTGGTTCTTTCGGTAAAGTCACGTAGAAGGGAAATAATAAAATAATAAAAATAAAACATAATAAAATAATTCTCACGACGTTTTGGTCACAACGCAAGCAGCCGTCCTCATGTGAAGAACAGGTCTGTCGGAGAGACAGTGTTCTCATTCAGACGCTGTCTTTCTGACAGACCGTCACAGCATGATAGCTGTATCACGTCGTGATTTTTATTTTATTTTTATTTTACTTTTATTAATTTAAATTTTTTACCTACGTGACTTTACCGAAAAAACCTAAGAATATAAGCCCCCAGCAGAGTTGACAGAGGTACGTGGTGAATGGAGCAATTGGGTCATGGGGGTGGATAATGCGGCGGGGTAGTGGTGTTCAGTGGAGAGATCCAGGTTTCCGTCAATGCTAGGGTGTCGATGTTTTTTGAAAGGAAATCATCGAGGGTGGATGCAGGCTTATTGCAAACGGAGCGTGAGTTCCATAGGCCAAGGTGCATGGGGGTGATTTGTGGAGGTATGTGATGGCTGGGCATGCAGGCTACATAACCCAGCCAACGCAGCCTTGACTGTCAGAGGAGCTCACCGATTGGACTGTGTCCAGATATTTCAAGGATGTGTGAGCTCTTCACTCAATCCAGACTGGTTTAACACAGGATGGATCGTATGCACGCCAGCCTAAATGTTTCTAACCAGCAACAATGTTCTATTAAGGGGTTCCACGTTTCGCAAGCATAGAGAAAGGAGGGCATGACCATGGTCTAAACGACCTGAAGCTTCTTGTGGAGCAACAAACCAGGTAGCATCCATACAGCATTACACAGAAGATGAAAATATGATGCCGCTCTACTGATTCGGAATGAGACTTTTGCTGTCAAACTGGAGCTGGTCATGAGCACACTGCCCATGTATGGAAACTGTTGTACTGTCTACAGAACTAACCCATCAATAGGGAGTTGAGGGGGTGGAGTATTTGATGATACAAAATACCCTGGCAGCTGCTTAGTTTTGCAGGGGGCTGATGGTAAGGTCCCACCAATTAGTAGCATGATCCAGGTCAAGCAGCAGTGTCTCCAACTTTTTCTCTGAGTGAGCAGCAATCACCAGATTATCCGCATACGTAACATAGTTGACCAATAGGGAACCATCTTTAAACCACACGCGGGCATCGATCAGCCTCCCATTGCATCTGTACCACATGGAAATTCTTCCGGTACAGCCATGGAAAGCTTCTCGAACTACGTAGTCGAAAGAAAGAGGTTCAATAATGTGGGAGCCAGAGAACATCCCCGTCACACGCCAAGGTGAACAGAGAACAGCTTTGAACCCTGGCCCTCCCACCATCATGAAGGTCCTTAATTATTGCGAGCAGAGAGTCAGGGACTCCAAAAGCACGGCGAAAACCCAGAGCCCAGGCCTTTTGATCGTATCATAGGCCTTGACCAGGTCAATAAAGCAGAGATGTAGGTCTGATATAGAAGACGAACAGAAAAATATAGCATCTGTGCATGATCGCCCTGGCCTTAAACCACAATAGCCGGTGGTTTACAGCTTCCCACACCTCACCGCCACACTCCCACGCCCCCTTAGTTATTTTGTTCAGAAGAAGAGTCACTCTTTGTTGTGTTTACCGTCTCCTGCCCCTAATACAGGACTCTCCACTCCTCATGGTGACTGGAGCCAGAACCAGTCCAATGGACATGCTAAATACTGCAGAGATCCAGGCGGTACGGGTCCAGCTCCCGACTGAGCATTCGAAAATTTCACGTGGCCACTCGCAGTGATTAAAAGCGTTTTTCGAGCAACCCCGAGGGTATGGGTTCAGTCTCCTGGCTCCACCAAATCATGTTTGGCCAGGAAACATCACAGAAGCCCGTTCTCCCAGAGCTTCCGGCACAAGCTTAGTTCGATATTTTCCACGTGTTTTCACGGTTGTTAAATATAAGATGGATGGATTACCAGCCCCTCGAACCTGCCCGGAGGCCGCATTGGCCGCTGTAGTGGCTACAAGACCCATTGATTTCTGCAGAGACCTATAGACTCACACAGATACCTATATACTCACAAATAGATGCACAGACTCGCATAGAAACCTATATACTCAGATAGACATATAGCCTCACACAGAGACTGACCGACTCAAACAGAGACCCATAGACTCACACACAGACCCATAGACTCACACAGATTCCTATATACTCACAAATAGACATACAGACTCACATAGAAACCTATAGACTCACATAAAACAATTTCCTCACACAGAGACCTGTAGACTCTCATTGGGACTCAATATTCACAAAAAAAACAAATATATTCACAAAGAGACCCATAGACTCATATAGAGAACCATAGAGTCAAAGACAGAGATCTAGACACACAGACTCACAGACTTGGACATAAACCCATAGCCTGTCATCGATACCCATATACTCACACAGAGACCCATAAACTCACACAGAGACTGATAAACTCACACAGAGATCCATATAATAACACAAAGACCCATAAACTCATAAAGAGACTGATAGACTCACACAGAGATCCATATAATAACACAGAGACCCATAGACTCACACAAACACCCGGAGACTCACAGAAAACCAAAGAATCACCTAGAAATCAACAGACTGGCACAGAAACCCATAGACTCACACAGAGACTCGTACATGCACATATGAACCTATAGACTCATGTAGAAACCAATACAATCACAGAGAGACCCTTAGACGCACGTAAAAACCCCTCGAATCACACAGAGGCCAATAGACACACGTTAACACCAATAGACTCACACAGAAACCCAAATACCCAAACAGAGACCCGCAGACTAGAAACATAAAAACCGGCAGAATGATCAATGAACGGAGATCGTTGGTCACACCTGAAGAAGAGGATGGAGAGGACGATGAAGAGGTTACCGGCCACCGTGATCACCACGGCCCCGAGCAGCGTGCAGAGCAGAGCCGAGCAGCCGGCGGGGGTCAGGTCGGACGGGGGGCAGCTCAGGTCATAGAGAGAGGTGACGCAGAGGGCAGAGGAGGTGGAGGAGGTGGAGGAGGTGGAGGAGGTGGAGGAGGTGGAGGAGTTTGGTGCAGAGGAGGCATTGAGAGGATGGATCATGTCTGTTTGGGGGGGGGGGGGGGGGGGTTCCACAACAGGTTAAGCGCGTTTTTACATCACACCACGGAGGTCACAAGCCAGAGTTCAGACGCGGCCACAGGTATGTGTACGTACGTATGTACGTGTGTTGAACTTTTTTAGCACAGTACATAGCTAACCGTGCTGATCGGAGGTGCTGTGGAAAAGGACAGGGTGTGTGTGCGTCTTCGGGTCTCTGTATGAGTTCGTGGGTCTGTGTATAAATCTATGGGTCTCTGTGTGAGTCTATGTATGTATTCATGTAGAACTTATTTTTCACCATGCGTAGTCAACCGTGCTAATTGTAGGTGCAGGGTAAGGACAACAAACTATGGGTGGCTGTGTGAGTCTACGGTCCTCCGTGTGAGTCTATGGATATGTGTGAGTCTATGGGTCTCTGTGTGAGTCTACGGGTATCTGTGTGAGTCTATGGGTCTCTGCGTAAGTCTATGGGTCTCTGCGCGAGTCTATAGGTCTTTGTGCGAGTCTATGGGACTCTGTGTGAGTCTATGGGACTCTGTGTGAGTCTATGGGTCTCTGTGTGAGTCTCTGGGTCTCTGTGCGAGTCTATGGGTCTCTGTGCGAGTATATGGGTCTCTGTGCGAGTCTATGGGTCTCTGTGTGAGTCTGTGGGTCTCTGTGGGAGTCTATGGGTCTCTGTGTGAGTCTATGGGTCTCTGTGTGAGTCTAAGGGTCTCTGTGCGAGTCCATTGGCCTCCGTGTGAGTATATGGGCTTCTGTGTGAGTCTACGGGCCTCTGTTTCAGTCTATGGGTCTCTGTGTGAGTCTCTGGATATCTGTGTGAGTCCATGGGTCTCTGTGCGAGTCTATGTATGGTATGTGTGGTGGAAGGAAAACAAAACTAAACACAACAACAAGCAGTTCTAAAGAAATGGGGTTTCAATCTAGATGATGATTTAAAAGTGCATAACTCCAGTGGCTTCCTAACATTAGAAGGAATGAGTGTTCCAGACTGACACAGAAGCCCATCTGAAAGTGCCGCTTGATGCAGTGACCGTCTTTGTGCGATGGCCAAGCCAACATTCGCTGCAGCTGCTGCTGCTAGGATGATGACGAGAGTTCTCGTGATCATGGTTCATAGCTCCTTGCTGACGAGATCAGCAGCGAGGTGGTATTGTGGTTCATTTGTGGCAATCCCTCTGTGCGTGTGTCTCTAATGGGCGCGACCTCGTAGTGTATTGTGGTGACCTGAACTGTCCCGGACCAACCGGTTCTTGTAGTAAAATCAACAGCGATAATGTCGACATTATCCATGGTCACAGTTTAACTCAGCACGTCAGCGGCACAACATGTCACTCGGGAAATATTACCGGATCACATATTCGCAGCTGCAAATGCTGTAACTGTGACCGATGTTGTTATCGAAGACGTGGATATTTCAGATCACAGTCTCGTGATGTGCAAAGTGGCTTTAACGATTATTCGCCCACCCATCACAGCGATATTATACGAGACTGCAAACGACTGGACGATGATGTTTTCCATCAGAAGATCCAGTGGCAATTATCATCGGCGCGTCCAGATCTTGCCTCGACGGCCGATTCATTTGCAGCTAAATTAGAAAATGCCGTCATTAATGTTCTTGATCAACTCGTGGCCATCATCCGAACAACGGGCACATCAATAATGGGGAAAGTGCACCGCAATAACTGGCTGTCACCAGAGGCGATCGCTGCGAATCAGACGTGAAGAAGGCTCGTTTGACTTCTCGCTTACAAAGCCACCTACAGATCCACAAACCGACTCATGAATGGGTCTAGAATATCGTTTCTCTGCTCTACGCATCACTGAGTTGGGTCACAACCCCTGCTGCACTACAACCACCCATCTACTAGTCAACCCGGGTCTGTGCACAGCACTTGCGATGTTCTTCGCCAATGAAACAGTGACGATCAAGACCGCAGTTTCAAAGTTGAAGGCAACACTTTCTCCCGCTCTGCCATCTGAGTTCGATCAACCTGGAACCAAAGCTCGAGACCCTGGCACCAACATCGGTGGCAGAGGTGTCGATATTCTTAGGTTTTTTCGGTAAAGTCACGTAGGTAAAAAAATTAAATTAATAAAAGTTAAATAAAAATTAAATAAAAAATTATGACGTTTCGGAGGCAACACAAGCTTCCGTCTTCAGGTGGAACCGTCACAGCCACGACAGCTGTATCAAGTGAAGACGGAAGCTTGTGTTGCCTCCAAAACGTCGCGATTTATTTATTTATTTTATTTTACTTTTATTAATTTAAACTTTTTTACCTACGTGACTTTACCGAAAAACCTAAGAATATGAATCCTTGCAGTCATGAAAGCTTCAAATCTAGAGGTGTCGATGTTCATCGCACGGCCGCCAAATGAAGACATCGCCGCTCGACTATATCCACACGTCGATTTCTCAAATCGTGCTCGGACGTTGCTTGCGCCACTGATTGTCCACCTGGAAAATCTTTCATTCAGCGAGGGTTGTTTCCCAGACCGGTTCAAAATGACGCAGATAACACATCGCTCGCTCCGATCTCAAACCTAAAGTCATTGAGTGCGTGTGTCTGAGGCGGTTACTGACCCACGTCACTTTGATGGGCAGATTACACCGGTTGCAGTCGGCGTACTGGAAGTTCCACAGCACTGAGATGCCTCTTACTAAAGGTCACCGATGACCTCTACAAGATCACGGATGACCTCTACAAGATCACAGATGACCTCTACAAGATCATGGATGACCTCTACAAGATCACGGATGACCTCTACAAGATCACAGATGACCTCTACAAGATCACGGATGACCTCTACAAGATCACAGATGACCTCTACAAGATCATGGATGACCTCTACAAGATCACGGATGACCTCTACAAGATCACGGATGACCTCTACAAGATCACAGATGACCTCTACAAGATCACAGATGACCTCTACAAGATCACGGATGACCTCTACAAGATCACGGATGACCTCTACAAGATCACGGATGACCTCTACAAGATCATGGATGACCTCTACAAGATCACGGATGACCTCTACAAGATCACAGATGACCTCTACAAGATCATGGATGACCTCTACAAGATCACGGATGACCTCTACAAGATCACAGATGACCTCTACAAGATCATGGATGACCTCTACAAGATCACGGATGACCTCTACAAGATCACAGATGACCTCTACAAGATCACAGATGACCTCTACAAGATCATGGATGACCTCTACAAGATCACGGATGACCTCTACAAGATCACAGATGACCTCTACAAGATCATGGATGACCTCTACAAGATCACGGATGACCTCTACAAGATCACAGATGACCTCTACAAGATCACGGATGACCTCTACAAGATCACAGATGACCTCTACAAGATCACGGATGACCGGTGCGCCACAGCGTTGGTTGGCCCTCGATCTCTCAGCCGCCTTCAACATCATCGACCGTGAAACACTCATCGGGTGGCTAAGGTCAAGGTTCGGTGTACCGGATACAGCACAGGGGTGGATTGAGTCATACATGTATGGCCGATCACAGTTCGTCAAGCTGGGTGACGAACAGTCATCGCCAATGTCGTGCCTAGTTGGCGTACCATCCATTCTATCCTCGACTGAACCACAATACAGGGTGTTTTAAAAAGATGGACCCAATTTCAAAGCAGTATATTTCACGATGGCAACATGTTACAATTACACAAAAAGTTACAAACGTTTAATGAGTTATCAAGTTTTACTAACCATTTTATAAATGCTCGATATGCCCTCCACCTGCTGTACGGACAACATCGAGACGATAGTTGAATTCGTCCCAAACGCCTCTCTTCTCACGTTTTCCTACGGATTCAGTCTTGCTGAACTGCAGAACGCAAAACGCCTTGTATGTTGCGGGGTCACCATCTTGCGAATGACTGAGGCTAGGGGCTGTTTGTGCGCTGGGAGAGGCATCTAGCGGTCATCATTTGAAACTCTGTGCCCTGCCCTTTCAAGTGGTAAGAGTTTAATTCATGGGCGGTTCGTGGTTGCAGAGATATAGCGATTTCAAATCGGGTCCATGCTTTTTAAGACACCCTGTACTTTGCTGATCTAGTCAAGGATCATAAGCAATCATGGGAACTCCGGCCATCCTCACAACAGCAGCTTTTCAATAACCATCGAACAAAAGACGATCACTGCATTGCGTGTTTTCAGATGTGCTTCGACGACCATCTGAAATGCTCTACCTTCTGATATCAGGAAGCAACTGGCTATACAATTTAAAATCTAGATTGAAAACGAATTCATTTGAAATTGAATTTTGCGTTTAGTTTGTTGTCCTTCCCCAACACCACCGATTATCGCGGTTGGCTACGTACAATGCGAAAGAAGTTCAACATACATACACTAAACCTCCTCAACAATGCTCACTCACAGGAAGGGACTTTCACAACGTTCGTGTGGCCAGTGATCCACCAACTCTCGCCTCTACAGTGGTGGACTAACGGTCACCCGCATAGCCACCCCCACTTGTGGTCGTGGTGGTGGCAGAGGTCGCAAATGGGTTTTGATTCCTTACCCGTACCCGGCCGCACCAGGGTCGGAAACGGGTACCCGTACCCGTACCCTACCCGATACCCGGCTACCCGTACCTGGTCGGGTATCGGGTAGGGTACGGGTACCCGATTGCGACCTCTGGGATGAAGCCATGTTGGAGGCGCGGGTGGGTTGATTCTAGGAACTTGAATTGTGAGAAGAGACAAGACGTTGGGAAATGAGCGACAAACGGTTACTCACCAGTGACTCACGGCCTACCTGTACCCGTACCCGGCTGCACCAGGGTCGCAAACGGGTACCCGTATTCGTACCCGGTCGGCTACGGGTAGTCGGGTATCGGGTAGGGTACGGGTATCGGGTACCCGGTTGCGACCTCTGGGTGGTGGTAAGGGGAGCAGCAACGCAGCGGTTAGAGGGCTCTTTTATGAACCCACGGACCCAAGTTCGTATTCCTGCTCACGGTCACTAACACTGGTGATAATTTTCTGAACCAGTCCTGGGCCTCCTCCCAGAGGTCGACTCAGCCTCAAATGAGTACCTGGTGTGGCGTGTGTAGTAGACAACGCCATTAGGGAGACAATGGTGGCCGGGCGTGGTCCTGGCCACCCACCTAGTGTGCCACCATTCATAGGTGCTGTTACTCGCTATGAACAGAACTTGCGCCAACATGCACGGCCAGCGCGAAAGCAGTAGGAGGCCAAACACCCCCCAAGTGTGATGAGCGGGCGCTTGCAGATGGAGCCGCACCTTTACCTGCGCGAGCGAGTGGGCCACCGATCAAGCGTCGTGGCGTCGGTTCTCTCCTCTTTCTCCACCGCCGCTTCCTCTCCGCTATCCATCGCATGCCTCGGATCGCCCTTTTTGTCCTCCGAAACCCACAGTCCCCCCCCCCCTCTCCCCCTCCTCCTGCTCCTTGTATGAGTCCGCGTGGACTCAGCCACGAGGGAGGTGCGCACACACAGGTTCGAGTCTCCGGAGGGGTCAAGGCTCTAATTGAGGCCCCTTACTTCCTCATGGGAAGGGATGGGTGGGGGAGAGTGTGTGGGGGGGGGGGGGGGGGTGTTGTGTTCACACTCAGGGTGATAATGAGAGCAATTAGCCGGATGAGATTGAGTGCGCCACGGGAGGCAATTGCACAAACACCTACACAATTACCAACTGCGCTTATTTATGAAGGAGTCTAATGAAGAGTGTCCTTGGAAAAAGGTCTGCGTACGCATGGCAAAACTAAAAATATACAAGATAGTGTTGTATTGGATTTAAAGTACATTGCATCGTAGACAATCTATTTCCTGCTTTTTGCGTTTTAGTTTGTTGTCCTTCCCCCGTACCTCCGATAAGCACGGAAGGCTACGTACGGTGCGAAAGAAGTTCAATTTACATACATAGACTCACACAAGGACCCATCGACTCACACAGAGACCTATACACTCATAATTATTAAGGACCTTCATGATGGTGAGCAGGCCCCAGTAAAACTACTTGGCCAGGAGTTGGAGTCATTCCCTGTTCACCTTGGGGTGCGATAGGGATGTCCTCTGGCTCCCATATTTCTTTAATATTTTTTTTACCACGTAGTTTGTGAAGACTTCTATGGCTGTACCAGAGGAATCTCCATCAGCTACAGATAAAATGGAAAGCTGATCAATCCCCGGCTGTGCGGTAATTGATGGCTTCCTATTGGTCAACCATGTTATTGAACCTGGATTGTGTCACTAATAGATAGGGTCTTACCATCAGACCCACAAACAATAAGCACCTTCCTTCGTATCTTGTACCATCAAACACTCCACCTCTCACCTCCCAATTGGTGATGGGGCAGTTGTGGGAAGAGTTGAGATTTTCCCATACCTGGGCAGTGTGCTCATGACTACCTCCGGTTTGACTGCAGAGGTCTCACTCTGAATCAGTCGAGTGGCATTATCTTTTCATCGGATGCATAACGCTGTGTGGAAGCAACCTGGTCTGTCGCTCCACACGAAGCTTCAGGTCTACTCGACCACGGTCATGCCCTACTCGCAAAACGTGGACCTCCCTATTGGAACATCTTCGCAGATCAGAAACATTTTGGTTGGCCTACTTACGATCCATCCTGGGCTTAATCAGGCTGGATTGTGTGAGGAGCTCACAAACCCTTGAAAGATCTGGACAAAGTCCCATTGGTGAGCTCCTCCGGCAGGCAAGGTTGCTGGGTTATGTGGCCTGCATGCACAGCCACCGCATGCCTAAACAGTTTTTGTTCGAGCCAATAGACATACTTAAATGGGTGTGGCATGGGCTCGAGAAGAGATGGGATGATGCGATGCAGGGGTATGTGGAGCTGAGTGGACTTGTCAATGACTGGTACCAGCGGTATTAAGATCGGCCTCTGTGGAGGGGGAGTTCGTGAAGGACACTGCTACTGGGCGGTCAAAGGCAGTCACCCTCCAGCAACAATGGAGGGCAGAGGAGGGATGCTCACAACAACGAGTGGAGCAGCGTGTGGCTGAAACACAGCAAGTTGGCACAGTCCGGGGCACAGGTGGTGCATCAGCGAGTCATCTCAGTCACTCAACCCATGGCATCTGCAGGGTCTGTCCCGTGATTTCTTGCAGCTTTGAGTAGATAACGACGACGACGGGTCATCCTTGCAGCTTGCCAGGAACATCCAGGTCAACCTGGATCTACGCGACGAGCCATCAGCAGGGCCATCTCAGCCCCTGGTGGTGGGCTTTGGAGCGGACGGTGGTCTACCGGAGGGCGAGCCGACGCCGCCGACGGCAGCGGCCGCACGACCACCGTTGAGCCCACACCGCCGCTCGGATACGGGCGGACGTGGCGGTCCGCTATGGTGCTACGAGTGCGGGCGTCAAGGACACTTCGCGCGGGACTGCTGGAGACGGAGACACGTCTTCCCATGTTCAGCAGGAGCCTACAATCGCGGATTCTACCCAGCGCAGGATTACCAGGCGAGTCGCGACACATGCAATACACGGCCGTATCCTACACCTCACCCATCCGCGACGATACACAATGTTGATCCCCCTTCGTATGATGCACAAGGTAATGCGGTATGGGGTGCGTTGGCTCATCGTGTTTTGGGGGCTGCGCCGGGCTCGTCGGATGTGATGGCGCTTGTTCAAGAGGTTCAAGTTTGGGTTATTGTCGATACGGGGGCATCCGCGACGCTTATTTCATTGCACACCTTCCGATTGCTTCCTACCTCGGCCCATGTTTTGGAACCGGTGGAGGGCCCGTGTATAGCGGCAAATAGGGGTAGTTTGGGAATTATGGGTCGTATACTAGCATCGATACAGGTCGGGGAGGAGTGTGTAACGGGATACATTTTGGTTTCATCTGTTCTGGCTGTGCCGTGTTTGTTGGGCACGGATTTTTTGCAAAAGATGCCAATTAAGATTTCGATTGAAAAGGGACGATTGGAATTGCCGTCAGGGAAGTGCCTACATTTTTTGGGAACTCCGTCTAAATTTGCTCGTGTCAACGCTGTGGTCCAGGCGGTGGTTAGCCGCACGGTGCGCGTTCCGCCTGCGACACAGATGCTTGTCGTGTTGAAATTGAAAAAGGGGCTGTCAGTAGGTAATTTGGAGGAAGGCATATTATTGTCGCCTTCAAATGCCGTGACACGAATGCCCTCCTTGGTGGGGGCTTTTACGATGGTGCCGGCGATGGCCGACCCGTTCATTCAAATTGTAAATACGGGGCACGAGCCGGTCGTTATTCAGGAAGGGACTACGCTGGCGCACGCGTCAGTCGAACGAGGTTTGGAAAGTCATGTGTGTTTGGCAGCAGGGGGTGGTAGCACGCTGCCGCGAGCGGAGGAGGAACCGAGCTGGTTTCGCGAGTTGTATGAAGGCAACGACAATTTGACACCCGAGCAGCGGATGCAGTTAAGAGAGTTGCTTTGGGAATTCAGGGACGTGTTTAGCTTGGGGAAGTTTGACGTCGGTCGTACGACCTTGTTGTGACATCACATTGACACTAGGGATGCGCCCCCTGTTCGATTGAATCCTCACCGGGTGAGCCCGCTGGAGAAGGATTGCATTCGGAGAACGGTTGATGAGAAGTTGCAACAGAATATCGTCTCCCCTTCGTCCAGCCCATGGGGAGCCCCGATCGTGTTGGTTAAAAAAAGAGATGGTTCTCTGCAAATTTGTGTGGATTACCGTAAATTTAATAAGGTTTCGGTGGCGGATGCATACCCGCTTCCGCGCATTGACGACTCATTGGACTCATTGTCCGGTGCTACATTTTTTTCCACATTAGACCTCTTATCTGGCTTTTGGCAATTGCCTTTGGACGAGGAATCTAAACCGAAGACGGCTTTTCGCACGCCGCAAGGATTGTTTCACTTTAATGTATTGCCGATGGGGCTGCACTCTGCACCTGCCACTTTTCAAAGACTGATGGAACTTGTGTTGACGGGATTGCAGTGGGAGTCGTGTTTAATATACCCGGACGACGTCATTGTGTTCAGTAAGGATTTTGAGGGACATTTGCAGCGGCTGCGAGCTGTGTTTGGCAGGGTACGGAGCACCAATTTGAAGTTTAAACCCCAAAAGTGTCATCTGTTGTGAACGTCCGTCATATATCTTGGGCATGTGGTCAGCGAAGCGGGCGTCGCCACGGACCTGGAGAAAACTAGTTGTGTTTGTGCGTGGCCAGTGCCTAAAACGGTGTCGGAAGTACGTAGCTTCGTGGGTTTTGCATCATATTATCGTCGATTTGTTAAGAATTTTGCTACGATTGCGAGGCCGCTGCACACGCTGACTGCTAAGGGTAAGAAGTTTCTGTGGGGTGACGAGGAACAGCGTTCATTTTAAATGCTCCGGGACGCTTTGGCGGACGCACCGCCGCTCGGGTATCCAAATTTTGCGGAAATGTTTATTTTGGACACCGATGCCAGTGATACGGGCATCGGCGCTGTATTGTCGCAAACCATTGACGGTGATGAAAGGGTCGTCGCATATGGCAGCCGGGTACTGTCCCCGGCAGAACAAAGGTATTGTTTAACACGCAGGGAATTATTGGCGATTGTTCACTTTGTGCAGTTGTATCGACCATACTTGTACGGGCGACAATTTTTGGTCCGCACCGACCACGCGGCACTGCAGTACTCCTTGCGGATCGATCAACCCTCGGACCAAATGGCCCGCTGGCTTGAGGTCTTGCAGGGATACTCATTTACGGTCCAGCACAGGAAAGGTACGCGTCACGTTAACGTGGATGCTCTGTCCCGGTTGCCTCAGGCATCGGGCTCGTGTAGATGCTCCGAAGGATCACTGCATTGTGGGCCGCCGCTGCAGAGCATGCCGAGCATGGCTGCTGCAGCTAATTCGATCCAGGTTGACGAAGCACCGGCTACTGAGCCTGGGTTGCTGGGATTGTCACGGGGGCGTTGGGTGCGGTTGCAAATAGACGATCCGTCGCTTACCAAGATGAGGCTACGTGCCTCTCGTTCCAAACAGTCGGATGATCGGGCCTTTCTTCGACTCATTGACGACATCCTGGTTAGATGGGATGTCGTCTTACAGAAATGTTGTATAGTGGTACCACTGTGTTTACGAGGGAAACTCATTTCCGACACGCACGAGCGATTGATGCACTTGGGGGAGAAGAAAACCGCTTTGACTTTGAGTAACGATTTCTATTGGCCGGGTTTACAGAATGATGTTCATTTGTATGTTAAAGCTTGTCACGAGTGTGCACGGTGGAAGGCGCCGGCCCAGCCATGCCGGGTACCATTGCAATCGATACGTGTTTCGCGGGTCAACGAAATTGTAGCCCTTGACATTCTGGGACCGTTCCCCATTACCCCGCGGGGTCACAAATACCTGCTCGT